CAGTTAGTGCATGCTGAGTTCGATACTACTTTAGGTGGGGAGTTAGAGTCTGACTGGAGAGAAGTCTTCCAGCAGATGCAGAGTGTCAGTCGAGCTAAGAAACCGATTGTTGCACATATAGCTGGGAAGGAGACGGTGAATATTCCTGCTTGGTCAATTTCGAAGTTGATAGTCAATGGAAGGGGGAATAGTTGTCAAGGTGGTTTCTCCAACCTGTTGTTGGAACCTGGGAAGTTTCCCCTCCCTCAGGGATTGATAGTGGTACCTTCTCTTGTCTGATAGTGGAAATTTCCAGTCACTACCGTATTCTTTACTGTGTCAGTACCTTATTTTTTGCCGTGTTTGTATAAGGTTTCATTATTTTGGTGAAGCAAAAAAAAGGTTTCTTTCAGTATTCTTTTGTACTTCGTCTATACGGCCTGATCAAGTGTGTAAGATAACTTTTTGGTTGTGCTCACTCTAGAGTAACTTATTTGGGAGTGTGTCGTACTGGTTTTCAACCAGTGTTTTTCTGTTATTAATCACGGTCTAAGATTTAGTTTTTTGTTACACTGGAATTGGTGAAACATTGCGTTATTATGTTTCTTCCTGTACGTTTTCAGTGTAATTACACTGTGTAATTATTATAGAGTAACTTTTGAAGAATATTTTGACTTTAGTCATTTTTTATTTTTCCTATTGTCTTGCGTATTAATATTATAATTTTTTTATTTATTTTTTGCTCAGTGGTGTTCCTGCCGACCGTTGTAAATTCTTTTACGTAAAAAACAGCAGTCAGATAAAACCCCTATACAAACAAATTAATCTGCCGTGTGTGTTCTTTTTTCTGAACACCCGGTTACATTAGTATTGTGGAATCAACTATTTCAGATCAACTCAGTTCTTAAAAACATGTAAAAGCAACACAAAACTGGTTTGTTTTTTTACGTCAGCTAGACAGTCTCATCAGTACGCAGTTCTTAGTCAGACCAGACTTCATCCAGATAGTCTCATTACATGCACAAACAGTGAAAATAAACTTCCCCATGTAAAATAGCCACCATCTTTTAACCGAACAGCCCTGCCATTTACGTTTAGTGGCACCTGTAATAAGGCCCAGTGCATTTAGGTCCACTAAAAGGCTACTTGGTTCAGTTTCAGGCCCTGTGCCCGGTGAGGAGCCCTGGCAGCGCTGCAAGCTTGGATATTTAGGCTGTAAGAGCACCAGGTGAGTAATAGGGCAGAAAAGGCTAGACATTTATGCCAGCGACTTGTGAAAGGATGTCATTTTGCCTCGTGCAAATTTCTGCGCCATTCGCTAGTATCAGCTGAGGCATATTAGTGTTATCGTTGGCACGCCTGCAGGAGGAGAGACATATTGAAAATTTCGAAAAGGTCTTGCAAAACTCTTACGGGATTACCTTACAGACACTTTCCACGGTTGAGAGCCGCTGAATGGGAGCATTGTACGGTGGGACTCAACCCAGGAAAGTAAACTTTGTCAGGACCCAGTTCATTAGCACCTAGTTTTATGTTTGAAGCGTGTCGTTTTTGACGGGGCTTGCGGGGGAAACACGTATATGTTCATGATTGTCCAGACCATACAGGGGATTTCCAGTGCAAATTGTTCCAGAGTGTACAAAACTCTCAATGGACGTTTAGAGAGTTATCAGTGGGTGAAACTTCATGTTTAGCGAGTGTTAAGCTTTTCCCATGACATGACATGGCTTTTATATCCCCCCCCCCTTTTCCCTTTGCAAACACGCATAGTTTCCTCTCTCTGTTTTATACAACAGTAAATCAAAAGCGTCCCGAACAAGGGATACCCCTCTGTTACCCACGACTGGAAAAAAAGAACGCTCTGTTTGGGACGACGGAGTGAATGAGAAATGGTCAGATTAAAGGGAAGCTTGTTTGCACCTGTTTTCTGACTTCAGAAGAGCAAATGTTTAGAGTTTCTACTTTGACTTTTCCATTCGCTTATTCATTTACATTGCGCGTTTCTAACTTTACTCGATGTCGGATTGGACAGACGTCACAAGCAACCTCGTATTTACGCGTCAATCCTATAATCTGCTTTTAAAACAAGCGTAATTATGTGTATGAGAGCTCGCTCACTGGGTGTAAGTTTCCAAAACCAATAATTCTTGGACATCAACTGTCATGTGGGCAGCTATCACGATGCATCGGGTCTCCTGAACGCTTACGAATGGCGCTGTGGAGGCCAATACTTTGAACCTTAAACCTTAAATTGGAGGTTTTCAAGCTTCTTAGAAATAGCAAATCTGAGACAGATTGTTTGAAATGGGAATTACAGAACAGGATGGGTATTGATGATTTGCATTAATAGTAGCATGATAGGCCAAGACTTTTACCCATAAGATTTATATTTCTTTTTAATTATTTTTATATTAATACATTTAATTTAATAAATGTTCTGGTTTATTGTAAATTGTCTGGTTCTATGTGGTTCTTGTATGTTTTTTTTTTTTTTTTTTTGTCAGTTTAAAAAAGTAGAAATATAAATGTTATTATAATTGATTTTAAATGTTCTTTGGCAATTAGCTGACATAAAATACATTAAAAAAAATAGTTATTTTTAATTTCAGTTAAAGTATTTTATTTCAAGTAATTGTTTGAATGGTTTTAGTTTAGTTAACGAGAGAAACCCTGTTACAGGGTTAGATGCTGCTACCCATAAAGTTTCATAGTCATAGGCCAAATCAGATTTGTCCTCTAATCCTTCCCAGTATAAAGAACATAGAACGGCTTTGTTATAAATATCTTTTCCATGACTTGAATCATTCAACAGGACCTCTGCGTTCTTTCCAAAGATCTGCTGAAATCGAGACGATCCTTTTTGTACGCTTCAAAACATGCAAGGTCTCCCAAATGCGGCTATCGTATTTCTTTTTTTAACGCTGACAAATTTGGAGCGCACCACTTGATCGTTCTAGATCGAGTTATAAGCTGCTATAAGATTTTTTATATGATGAATCCGATGAGAACCTGCTGTAAAATCACTCAAAATGACCAGTCCGTCTGTATCGCTGTTGATTTTGTTTTCTCTTCTGGTCAGACAAAAATGCCATGTTGAGCAAAACCTCCTCTCCCTTTTTTTTTTTGGCTTGTGTGGGACGGCCTATTTGTTGTACATGCTTAAACAAATTAGAGGAGCAGCTGTGCAACTCTGGCCTATCCATGCTGGCATTGTGCGATTAAATATATGTTCTGGTAAAAGCCAGCCTCTCTTCTCCCAAAATATACGGCTGTTTCTCTGGCTCTGAGGTCCTCACCGTATTTACAATCAGCCTTCCCTTCACTCTGACCCTAGAGAGAAGAAGAAAAAGCAGGAGTTTGGGGAACGAAAGGGAGAGAAAGAGACCACCTATGCAGATGTTTTCCAGACATGGAACATGCTGGATGCCAAGAGGCACCTGTTGAATTGCAGATGTGTTTTTTAATTTCCTCAGATATAATTGGGCAACACACATTGGCTTTTACAAAACAGGGTGTATAAACATCACATGCGTAAAGGAAATAACCTCAGACATGGTTTACGAAAATTTCGAAGACGATATGCATTGATGTGATTTCAGCCGAGCTGTTTTTACTGCTACGAAATGGCATGCACATGTCGAGAGGTGACATGAAGTGGCGTGATGCTTTTCATGCCACATTTATGACACAGCTGTGTGAATCAAACTTGCAGGGCGTCGACTGAGGTGTTTCCCAAACTTTCCTCAACATTTCCAGATTTACAGCACTCTCTCTCGCTCGCTCGTTCTCTCTCTCTCTCTCTCTCTCTCTCTCTCTCTCTCTCTCTCTCTCTCCCG